AAAACCGATGCGGAGGAGCACAAAATTTAACACTGATCAGCATCACCAACCAAGCTTCTTCAAGAAATCCCTAGTTCTCTTCCTCATGCGTGTAAAAACAATAACAATGCAAGCAAGGACCCAAGGAGGAAAGTCACCACCAAATATGTTTAATTTCTTGATCCATTCTGGAGTATCCTTCACTACCAGAGCTATCAAAAGTGTTGTAACTGCTATTCCTACCAAGATCTTGGTTATAGGTTTGATCAAAGAATCCTAAAATCAAGAACAAAAGATGAAGCCACACATCATATCAGATTATGCAGAAGTCATATCATAAGCATCATGATGAGTAGAGTATAATTTCCAGTCATCAGCCAAGAGCAGATAAGCCAAGATGAAAGCAACTTAAGCAGTCGAGGCTCAACGTCCATGATTTATTGCCCACAAAAGTACCCACTTACTCATCCACATGCATGCACACACACATATTTATTGGTTCTAGATTTGGAACCACAAACTTTAAAGAGACCCTTTAAGATCATAGGAAAAGAAAGAGTGAGCTATGTAAGAATTTCTAAAGATCCATGCAATGGAGGAACAGGGTAAATAACTATAAGAAGGTATAAAAAAAGAGAGCATACTTCATACATCATGAAGGGAAACTCACAGTCTACCTCACTTTTTAAGATATATTTAATTGCTTTACACAAACAATTGACCATCTGTTCCATACATGGAAAAAAGGTGAACATGGGAGATATTGGACGCTAGTTGGGATCTGCAATATGAATCATTAGTTGAGAATCATGTGCATAGGAAGGCGTATACAGTCTAAGGGCAAGAACACAAAGGATATAACTCATTGTTTTATTTATTTGTACAAAGTATGGGTGGTTTGGAGAAGATTATTTGAAAAAAATACGTATAAATCTATCTGTAGGTTTTAGTTGATTTAGGGTTGCAGTCCAATCCTTGTTTTACTTTACAACATATTTGCATTTGACAAGTTAAGAATCCAATCAGCCCGCTGGAATTCTCTAGGTTTTTCCTTGAGTCAACTGAATTTATATGGGATTTTGATTGGTAAATTTTAAGCCTTATCACCCCAAGGTTTAAGCTGTGGTTTTAACCTATATTAAATATATTAAAATTTTGAGTAGAATTTTGGTAAAAACAGTCCTTTTATAAGTATTCAGTGTTAAAAGCTTATATGTATATCTATTATTCTAACGTAAATATCACTTACATGCCAAGTTTGCACCAGAATATTTCTATATATTACATCGGCAATATTAAATATCTTTTATGGAATAGAGGTTCACTTGAATGACCTAGCAATTGAACATAAGTGACCTGATGATACAAAGCTCTCACCAAGTTGATGTCCATTCCAGTTTGAAAGCCATACTGCTAAGTTTGGAAAGAAAGTTATTTTAAAACTGCTGAAAGTAGACAAAGATTATAAAAACAAAAATCTACTCGGTTTAGAGGATTGGGTGCTCACTTCAAATAGTATATGATTCTGATAATCCATGCTTGGTAGGTGATTCTCTAGAGAGTCCTAGAGCATCCCTTGTTTAATTCATTACTATGATAAATCAAAAGCCAATCTTTGTACCCCCCAAAAAAAACATAAAAGGCCAATCTCAACCTGGTGTGAAACAATACACAAGAATGTAAGGGTTTAGATAGCTCAACATCCTTATCAATCAGTATAGAATACTCCTCCATTCAGTGTTCACTGCTAAATTTTCAATTTATTTTGCACTATATTCTAGTAATTCAGATTACTTCATAGCACAAACTTAAAACAAACAGCCTTATAATTCGCTAAAGTTTTGTAAGGCTCCATTTAGTTGCTGCTTTCACTAGTTATTTTTTGCTTAGCTCCTACAAAAATTGCTATAAAAACAAAAGCAAATGGCAGAAAGCAAAACCATAATAGCAACATCAATAACAATATAATTATTCTATATAAAAGTAAAATAATGTATTTTTTCTCTGAAGAAACTACTCCTTCAATCTTTAATTTAGCAAGAAAAAAAAAAAAAAAGCATTGTTTGGTTATATACCCAAGCTTGCATTTTGGATATTGCCTTTTGCCTCTTGAAGCAAAATGCAATTAGTGAAAGCAATAACTCCATGTCCCAAAGGGAACATCCCAGGGTAAGAACTGTAGCATTCATCTTGAAAGCTTCGAGCTTAGATCCTAGGTTAGGATTTATGATATAGGAGAAGGCTGTAACTGAATCAATCAGTGCCTTTACTTACTTTTTGCTTCCCTATAAGTTGCTAAAAACTAATAAAATAAAATAGTAGATTTATTTATATTTTGATAAAAATAAAAAGCAAATAGTATAATGGATTTTGCAACTAAAAAAATGAAACTTTTGATCCTTAATTTTCAGATATTTGAACTTTATATCCGAAGTAACTTAACAGTCCAACTCAAGATATAAAATTGATTAAATTATCGACAATATATATTTGATATAATTCATTTTAAAAAATCACATATAATCAAAAAATTTAAAAAAATTGCAAATAATCATGAAAAAAGAGATAAATCTAAAATTACCTTTGGTTCGCCGTCAATGTGAACCACTGATCCGTCCCTGTATCCGATCATAGACCTTCCATTTCTCGGATGAAATCGGATTGGGACGCCCCGACCCGACTGGGTATTGAAAGCATAAATCGATTTAAACCCATATTTCTCAAGAATTTCTCGGACCTCCAGCTGGTCCTGGTCCCACCCTCCCAAGCTTGACTTGAACACGTCGATCGGACCCTTACCTCGTCGATACAATCGGATCTCTACTTCGGGCACTTTCGTCTTCACGGTTCTTGGATTCGGGTCGGATTTAGGTTCATTTCTTGGGTCCTGGGTCGACGCTTCAATTTCTCCGGTCTCTTTCGAGTTTTCTGTTTCCATTTTTGTCAAAAGCCGGCCGGTCGTTTTGCAGGCAGTTGCTATTTATGGTTTACGAGGAAAATAGAAGGGGAGATGGTTCCTCTGCGGTGACTCGATGTCCTGTGAGTTTAGGTGATGAATTCGATTTTGCCACGTGTAAATAGTAAAAACATATAAAAAATGTAATCAATATATGAAGGATATGAACAAGTATATGCTGGTGTCCGATCCCATAACATAAGATTTGGATATTTTATACTTGATTATACAGTAAGTTTGGATAAAGTTTTTAATACTCAGATTTAAGTTTGGGTCAATCTCAAATACCACAATACGTTAAACTCAATCTAATTATATATGATATTACAATATTAAATATAATATTATAAAATGTTGTAATTAACAAGATTTGAACCTTTATCCAAAGTGCCATCTTAACCAACGTCCTTCTTTAAATTAATAAAAATAAAATTAATTTATATATTGATTGAATATCATATTTCAAGAAATAAATACTATATATATATTGCAAAGTTTTACGACTAATGCAACAATCAATTATAGCTATATTAAATGTAATTGCTCCCTCAAAAAAATAAAATAGGTATTTTTATTTCTAAGTATATAACATACATAATATAATTATGAATTAGGATTATAAAATATGTAATTACAAGTTATATATTTTAAATGATAAAGTTATATGTTAATATTAATATGATTATTAGATATCTTATATATTACTAGGTTATAATTTTTTTTTGAAACATAAGTAATTTTATTATTAATTATCAAAGAAAATTATCTTTGAACTTAATGTTTAGAATAACATAAAAAGAGATTAAAAAAAAAACCCCAAAGAGTACAAATTCTGGACTTGGGATATCCAGGTGCCTACAACAAGCTTCGGACCATGCCAAGGTGCTGTCCTAAAAATTTTCATTAAATTCCACCAACAGGCCCTCAGCTCCACAATTTCCTCCTATTGTACGAATTTATTACGCCGTCCAAAGCCGTGCAATCTCACAGAACTGAACCAAAATCCTCTCAAATTATGCTGCCCCATAATCCATAAAACTGTCTAAATTTCAAATCATTTAGAAGTACAATAGTGCCAGCTTCACAGGAACTCTGATCTCACGGTAAACACTACATAAAGTTTAACCTTATTGTAAAGTCAATTAATAAAATTTTTAAAAAATAATAAAAATTTGTACAACAAGTTAATAGGTAAATAACATGTATAATTTTTAAATTTATCTAATTTAAGATGATAACGTAGATAATTTTTACGTTTATTTAGTTTATTTTAACTGATTTAATTTTTAATTTAATTTTATTTTTTACTATAAATTATAAAAATATTATTATTTTAAAATTAAAATTATATTTAATTAATTTAATTTAATAAAATTTACTCTTATCACTATCACTAGTTACGTTAACTTTAACATATTTACCTTAAAATTTTAAATCTGTTTATTATACCTTCATAAGATTTTACGTCAATTCTAATAATTTTACGTCAAACTTTTCTAATAGTAATTTTAAATTATAATTATTTTTATCTTTATTATCCTTAATACAAAAATTAAAATTTTTATATCGTTAAACACTTTCAGCCAAAGAATATAAATTTAAATATTTACTTTCATTAAATTTACATTGTTTTTACTTAATTGACTTGTTATGTTAACTCTCACCTACTTAAGTTAAGATTTGAAATTTAGTTATTCTACCTTTACAAGTTTTTACGTCAATTCTTATAGTTTTACGTTGAAGTTTTTTCACGTCAATTTTAAACTATAATTATTTTTATTATTATTGTTTTTTATTTAAAAATTAAAAATTTTATATCGTTAAACACTTTCAGTTTGAGAATATAAATTTAAATATTTACTTTTCATTAAATTTACATAGTTTCTACTTAATTGACTTGTTACGTTAACTCTCACATACTTACGTTAAGATTTAAAATTTAGTTATTCTACCTTTACAAGTTTTTACGTCAATTCTACAGTTTTACGTTAAGATTTTTAATGTCAACTTTGAACTATAACTATTTTATCCTTATTATTCTTGTTTAAAAAATTAAAATTTTTATATCGTTAAACACTTCATTCGAGAATATAAATTTAAATATTTTTTCGTTAAATTTATATTATTTTTACTTAATTACTTGTTACATTAAGTCTCACATACTTACGTTAAGATTTAAAATTTAATTATTTCATCTTACAAGCTTTATGTCAATTCCTATAGTTTTACGTCAAAGTTTTTTCACATCAATTTTGAATTATATTTTTTCCTTATTATCTTTTAATTATAAATTAATTTTTATATCGTTAAATATTTTAGTCCGAGAATATAAATTTAATATTTACTTTTCATTAAATTACATTATTTTACTTAATTTATTTATTACGTTAAGATTTAAAATTTAATTATTCTACCTTTACAACCTTTTATGTCAATTCTTACAGTTTTACGTCAAGGCTTGTTCACGTCAATTGTAACTATAACTATTTTTATCCTTATATCTTTTATTTAAAAATTAAAATTTTATATCGTTAAATACTTTCAATTCGAGAATATAAATTTAAATATTTACTTTTCATTAAATTTACATTGTTTTTGCTTAATTGACTTGTTACGTTAAGTCTCACACACTTATGTTAAAATTTAAAATTTAATTATTTTACATTTACAAGCTGTTACGTCAATTCTTACAATTTTACGTTAAGGCTTTTCCATTTCAACTTTAAACTATAATTATTTTTATCCTTATTATCTTTTATTTAAAAATTAAAATTTTTATATCGTTAAACACTTTCAGCCCAAGAATATAAATTTAAATATTTATTTTTCATTAAATTTACATTGTGTTTACTTAATTGACTTATTATGTTCAGTCTCACACACTTACATTAAGATTTAAAATTTAATTATTCTACCTTTACAAGCTTTTACGTTAATTCTTACTGTTTTACGTCAAGGCTTTTCCATGTCAACTTTGAACTATAATTATTTTTATCCTTATTATCTTTTATTTAAAAATTAAAATTTTTATATCATTAAATACTTTCAACCTAAGAATATAAATTTAAATATTTATTTTTTATTAAATTTATATTATTTTACTTAATTGACTTGTTACATTAACTCTCGCACACTTATGTTATGATTTAAAATTTAGTTATTCCACCTTTACAAGATTTTATGTCAATTCTTATAGGTTTACGTTAAAGCCTTTTTATGTCAACTTTGAACTATAATTATTTTATTCTTATTATCTTTTATTTTAAAAATTAAAATTTTATATCATTGAATACTTTCACCCCAAGAATATAAATTTAAATATTTACTTTTCATTAAATTTATCATTATTTTTACTTAATTAACTTGTTAACGTTAACTCTCACATACTTACGTTAAGATTTAAAATTTAGTTATTCTACCTTTACAAGTTTTTACGTCAATTCTTACAGTTTTACGTTAAGATTTTTTAATGTCAACTTTGAACTATAACTATTCTTATCCTTATTATTCTTAGTTTAAAAATTAAAATTTTTATATCGTTAAACACTTTCAGTTCGAGAATATAAATTTAAATATTTTTTTCGTTAAATTTATATTATTTTTACTTAATTGACTTGTTACATTAAGTCTCACATACTTACGTTAAGATTTAAAATTTAATTATTTCATCTTTACAAGCTTTTATGTCAATTCCTATAGTTTTACGTCAAAGTTTTTTCACATCAATTTTGAATTATAATTATTTTTATCCTTATTATCTTTTATTTAAAAATTAAATTTTTATATCGTTAAATATTTTTAGTCCGAGAATATAAATTTAAATATTTACTTTTCATTAAATTTACATTATTTTTACTTAAGTTAAGATTTAAAATTTAATATTTCATTTTACAAGCTTTTATGTCAATTCCTATAGTTTTACGTCAAAGTTTTTTCACATCAATTTTGAATTATAATTATTTTTATCCTTATTATCTTTTATTTAAAAATTAAATTTTTATATCGTTAAATATTTTTAGTCCGAGAATATAAATTTAAATATTTACTTTTCATTAAATTTACATTATTTTTACTTAATTTATTTATTACGTTAAGATTTAAAATTTAATTATTCTACCTTTACAACCTTTTATGTCAATTCTTACAGTTTTACGTCAAGGCTTGTTCACGTCAATTTTGAACTATAACTATTTTTATCCTTATTATCTTTTATTTAAAAATTAAAATTTTTATATCGTTAAATACTTTCAATTCGAGAATATAAATTTAAAATTTTACTTTCATTAATTTACATTGTTTTTGCTTAATTGACTTGTTACGTTAAGTCTCACACACTTATGTTTTTAAAATTTAATTATTTTACATTTACAAGCTGTTACGTCAATTCTTACAATTTACGTTAAGGCTTTTCCATTTCAACTTTAAACTATAATTTTTTTATCCTTATTATCTTTTATTTAAAATTAAAATTTTTATAGTTAACACTTTCAGCCCAAGAATATAAATTTAATATTTATTTTTCATTAATTTACATTGTGTTTACTAATTGACTTATTATGTTCAGTCTCACACACTTACATTAAGATTTAAATTTAATTATTCTACCTTTACAAGCTTTTACGTTATTCTTACTGTTTTACGTCAAGGCTTTTCCATGTCAACTTTGAACTATAATTATTTTATCCTTATTATCTTTTATTTAAAAATTAAAATTTTTATATCATTAAATACTTTCAACCTAAGAATATAAATTTAATTATATTTTTTATTAATTATATTTATTTTACTTAATTGACTTGTTACATAACTCTCCGCACACTTATGTTATGATTTAAAATTTAGTTATTCCACTTTACAAGATTTTATGTCAATTCTTATAGGTTTTACGTTAAAGCCTTTTTATGTCAACTTTGAACTATAATTATTTTTTTATTCTTATTATCTTTTATTTAAAAATTAAAATTTTATATCATTGAATACTTTCACCCCAAGAATATAAATTTAAATATTTACTTTTCATTAAATTTACATTATTTTTACTTAATTAACTTGTTACGTTAACTTTCACACACTTACTTTAAGATTTAAAATTTAGTTATTTCACTTTTACAAGTTTTTATGTCAATTC